ATTAAAGCTGTCTTACAGTGTGGTTGTGTAGAGCGGCTTCTGCATAAATCGAATTCAAGTGGGTAGACTATTAAGGTATTTATTGCACGGCTGACCATCTTAATAGAATCCGAAACTCATCAAAAGCAAATTCAAGTACCAGGTGGTCAAGATTAAGGTACTTAATGACAACAGTTTTTACCAATTTTCTTTTTAATTTCTACCTTTCTGAGTTAAATGTTTCATGTAACCCTCATCTCAATAATTAAGGTACAATAACAGTATTTGTTGAAATCAAGTACCTTTTTCCTACTTAACATATTGACGTTCAATTCTCTGAATAAAGGCTTTGCATTCCGTCGCCGTTGTCCTCTTACTTGGCTCGGTTTGCCAACAGGATGTCATCAGTTTGGTCAACTGTGTTGGAGGAAGATTGGGTTTGAATCTCCTGTCACTCCTGGGGGTCTGAGGCCGATAATGGCCCTCACTTATTCGTCGAAGGAAGTCACTCAGGCCTAGACTCTGATAGCTTAGTTCGGAGAAGACTCTTTTACCGAACCACATCTCCCACATCATGAGACCGAAGCTGTACATGTCGGCCTTCGTGCAGTAGGGCTTTCCTCCGTGTACTTCAGGTGCCATGTACAGTATTGTACCACATACGGTTCCCGTGATTCTGTCTTTCAGTTTGGCCAACCCTAGGTCTGCCACTTTGATTTGGTTACGTCTTGAAATCTGTAAATGAGGTTTGCAAATCGTCATAACTGTAACAAAAGTTAAGCCAAGATCGGAAAGAAAGAAGCCAAAGCCTTAATTGTCTTGAAAGGTTAAGAAAAGGCCATAAAAACATTCAAACAGTCCATGAACTGCCAGCTCAGGATAACAATTGGTTGATTGTGAAACATTTTTCTCATCCGGAATTATCATAAAAATTTATTTGGAGGCAGAATAAAGCAGTACATTTGGAGCCAGAATTACCCAAAATGTTATTCTAGCTGAAAGCAGACTGAGATGCGTGCTGAGTACCACGTAAAAACGAGTTGTAAACTAGTTCAAGTTCCATTAATTTAGTTCAGTTAAACGTTACTTAGAATCAATATTTTATAGGCACATGTATTTGTTATAGTCATCTCGTATCCAATAGTAGCAAATGGAATAACTTATCGGATTCTTCAATGGACTGGATGATGTGGACATTTCAGTTTGCTTTAAACTAGGTGATAGTACGAAAAAGCGGCAAAGGTCGATAGCAGCATTTTGAGGCAACTGAAAAATATAGAAAGGGAGCGAGACAGTGTTTTCTTCCGAAAATCTCCTCTTGAGTTACCCATATTAACGATGAAGGATTACGGGAAGGTCCGAAGCGATAGCCTTGCTGAAAATCAGACCCCGCGCACGTGCAAATTTGAACGTTAAGCGTCAATATTGGCGACATTATTGGGTTCACGCGTCATGCTTTTGACCGCTGTGAAGTTGTAGCTTATTTGCGTTGGTTAACTTACCAGAATGTTGTCTAGCTTGAGATCTCTGTGAACAATGTTTTTGCTGTGAATGAACTCGAGTGCATCTAAGATCTCCCTGGTCCATCGAAATGTGTCGGTTGCTGCATTCGGGGTCTTCCAAGGGATACGATTGTCGTTTCCAAAGATGTGGCTCTTCAGACTTCCAGGGCATAGCTCGAAGACCAGCGCCACGGAAAGCAGTTTGTGGTTGTCAACCTCTATGGCCACTCCATACAAGGCAATTATGTGCTTGTGCTTCAGCTGCCGGCTGTGTGAAGAATGGTTATATGGTATGAAGTCATCTTTGCAAAAGTACACAACTAAACTCACGATACCATTCAGAAGTATTTGCGTTCGGAGCCAAACGCATTTGCATCTCTAACAACGGGAATCATTGAGACCCTCACAGCTTTCCTCTTTCAGAATGCCAAAATGCATTCTGTAAATTACTATGAACTGATAACCCCTAGCTGTGATGTTTTGAAATGAAGCGGTGTTATCATGTTTAATATAAAGGACTCTCTCGAGTGGAATTTTGCTCTCAAAGTTTTTTTTCATGGTGGGCTTAAAGTTGATAAAAGAACTCTAATTCAAATTCAAATTATTCCTTAGGAGACGTAACTGGAGATGAATTTGGGGTAGGACAAAATTTCACTGGAAAGCGATGTGGACCATTGGAAGACATCGTTTGCTTTCACGTTTTGGGTAAAGGTCAAAAAGGTAAAGTGAGCGTCAGGCCAAGTGGTGTAACCGCTGGAACATATCCTGCTTTCTGTATAGTAATACGTGAATAAGAGTATTTCTCCTCTCCCTTGAATGCGATACTAGTCCATCGCAGGGTTGCCCTTAGTATTAAATTATCGGAAACCCATCTCCAAACTTATTAGATGGGAGGAGAGTCAATTTAAAAATTGATATGTCTTGCCCAAGAACAAAAACACAATGACGCCAACCGTGGCCTGAACTTGGAGCACTCGATCAGGAGTCGACTTCTCTAACCGCTTTTCGCAACAGCGTCTCTTACTGACACACTTTTAGGTATAGTTAAACTAGTTATATTGCTTAAGTCAACATTTGGATTGCATTTGTCGTTGGGTTCCCCAAACCTGGAATAAAATAAAATTTCAGTGTCTCTAGACATACTTACTTTAACATGGCTGCTTCTTCAAGGAAAGTGACCACGCTTGATGGACACAGAGCTTCTTTAAGCTTTTTGACAGCAACTTCTTTTCTTCCATGTCCGGGAGGGGTGAATTGGCCTTTGAAGACAGTACCATAGCTACCTCTACCTAGGATGTGTCTCACGTTGTAACGAAGTCTCCCGATGTTAATTTGGCAAGGTGGGTACGTCACCTGTATTCCACTTTGGAGGGCATCGAACGTCAGCTTTTCATTCATTTCCTGCAGCTTCTCATATAACGGACCGTTCTTCTCCAAAGTCTCTTTATCCCGTGAATTATCTTCGCTCCTTGTGAGATCCTTGCATCTCTGCTCATATCTGGCTATGAGGTGTTGATGGCATCTCTTTACCCGGGTAATGCGAGTCATCTCGTCGGAGAAGTTGTCTCGGACATGGTGGAGTACTTCATCGTTGATGGAAGCCTCTAGAAACCTGGCCGATAATTCTGTTAAAGCTTGGCAGCGATTGTTCATCAGCTGTCGTTCCCTGAGCTGCCTGTCGATGAACAGGTAACCTAACACCGGTGCAAACAGAACTCCTGCAGCCAGACCAACAGGAATCAAAACTGGCATAAAAATTCCGAGAGTCATCACTACGAATTTTTTCATAGGACGAGTCTCGCAGGGTATGAGCTCATCCCTAGAATCACCGACGAGTACCCGATCAATATCACGGATGTCTTTCTCAAGATCGTAGAAGCTTTGATGAAATTGTTTCTCGAGGTCTGCATAGGCTCTTGCAAAAAGCTGCTCCTTGCTTTCCCACTTGTAAAGAAAAGACAGGAATCGCTCTTCAATGCATCTGCTATACATCTCCCTGATCTTTGTTGCATCCGTTTTATGACGATCGGCAATGTTAGGCAGATCATTTTCTTCCCATGTGCAAAACCTGCGTCTGACTTCATCTGATTTCATGTAAGATGTGATTTTTTCACAAAGGTTTTTCACGTGATTAGATATTGCGTCTTCCATTTCCTGGATGAATATGCCTTTCTTGAGCTTTTCCAGCTTCACCTTAAGTTGTTGGCGAATCTTGAGTCTTTCTTGCCCGTTTCTTTTGGCATTTCGCATCGCACATTTGAGCTGATCCGACACGTTGCAGAGCTGGCCACTGATGCAGCTGTTAAAATAAATTAACGAATGATAATATAAAGTAATAAGTTTTGAAAAACGTTTTAAAAAGGGACTGTAATATCTTCAAAATTGTGGACAGACGGGAACCCGCGTCAAAACACGACAGATCACATTGATGAAGAGTTATGCTGGTAACGTTGTGTTTTAAAATTTTAAGACCTCTCCAAGTAATAAGTTGTCGTTTGTAAACGATTTAGAGTATTTTTTGACCAATGCTAAATCATTTTCCCAATCATCTTATATACATATTACATTGAAAGACCTATCATTCTTTTATAGTTAAAATCCTTAACCTTATGGAATTCCGAGAAATGGCACGTGGTCAAAATGACAATTCTTCACCGATCGACTGTATAAACGTGAGAGAACACTCTGGTGAATTTGCTTACAGCCAAATATTTTGATTAATCCAATATTCTTGAATTGTTTTTTTGGGACAAGGCATGCGGTTCTACAATACGTTGGTCGCATTACAGCTTTTCTGCGCTCGATTGTGGCGACATGCAAATCGAATGAAAATGGTCGTTTTCCAACCCAGTAGGAACTGGAGATTAAATCGTCTTTTTTTAAAATGTACGTAAAGGCAAAACTATTTCAAGGGAAAAACTACAGCCTCTTTGCGTTCTTGCTAGGTGCTAGCTATACCCAAAAGAGGAGCAAAGCTAAGTTCTCTAGCCTTGGCGAAGAAATTTGATTCTGTTCGAGTTTTGTGGACATTTGCTCTTAAACTTACCAGTAAAGATATTCTGTTTTTCTCTCGATACAAAGCGGAAGAAGCCGTTGCAGTCCGTTAAACAGGCAGTTCAGGTCATCACTCATCACGTTAAATCTCTTGTGTACTTCCGCTGCTCTCAACACCGACATCCTAATCAATTGGGATCTTTCATCAAGGTCGGGGATTTTTTTTCTGAGTTTGCCAATGATATGTTTCTGGAGGTCCTCTCTTTGGCTTTGGTTGGCTTGTTTTTCAACTTCGTCCCACTTGTTGCAAACAAACAGAGCAGACTCAGCAGTGATTCCACAGCGTTGCTCTCCATTATAGAGTTTTATCCAGTCGCTCAAGATACGCATAAGCTGAAAGTATTTAACCAGAGGAAAAGCTCGAATGAAACGTTAGTCTCCACTTGGGGCAACTTGACCCCTCAGGTGGCTTTTAAAGTGGCTAGAGGTTAAGCCTGTTCCGTTTGGATAGTGGGGACAATGCAAACGGTGGGTGAGTGAAGGAAAAACGAGGCGGGGTGGAGTGGAGGGAGGTTGAGCCCTGAAACAAGCTCCCAGGAGTTTTCCTAATCCTGCAATTTCCGTGAGAATCAATTCCAGATGTTCACTGTCGGGAGAGTGAAAGTCGACTCTTCTCTTTCTCTTTCCCAACTTGATTAGAAAAGATCGAAGCTTCTCTGCTTTCAGGGTAGATACTCCTAGTATTTCAAGTTAAATTCTATTTATTAAAGTAACAATGATTTGTGAATACGATCTATAGATTAATGCATATAGGAATAATTACTTCCGTGTACAAAGCTCCATTGTCTCAGTGAATGATTCCTAGAAGAAACGGAAAGTGTACCTTCTTGCTTCCTTTTCAACTGATACCAGTTTCCATATCGCTTGCGAACGGTACGCAACTTAATCATGGTGTGCATGTATGTGTTAGATAACTGAAAAACATCGCTTGAGAATACAGCTAGCTTATTGTCCCTTGTTTCGCCCCTAACAGCTGTTATTCAGTGACGCTTTGGAAATAAAAACCCTGCATCAGTGATCCAGGATCGAGGATTGTTCACGGAGCTCATTTCACATTTTGAATTTTCCCAAGAGGTTATAGACTTTAAACGTTCAATATACGGTTAGTTTTTATCGTATATCCGCACGATCCTGAGGCGGAAGCTATAAGCAATTTCTCTAATCCTCTTTGTATTTTGTCAGGGAACCCTATAATCGTTCACCAATACCCATTTATTCTCTTGAATGAAGGGAACCCGAAACTGTGATAGTGAGGTGTTTTTCCCTACTACACAACACCACGAGCTCCAACCCGGACCACTCGTCCGATGTCCAAAGAATGTGACGAGGAGAGTATAGATTTATTTATTTTTTACTCACTCTGTCCTCCTGTAATCCTCCGGCATTTGAACTGTTTAATACGTAGATGAACGCGTAGGCCCGTGGCAAATAGTCTAAGACTATCTTGTTTGTTTGCTCTGAATCACCGATTCCTGGGCTGTCTACAATTACCACACCACCCTAGACGAAAACAACGGCGAAACAGTGAAGGTGAAGCTGAAAGGACCAAACTACAACCCATATTCATCGTCAGTTGCGTGATGGTTTAGAAAGCCTAGCCATATTGCAATCTTAACCATTCGGTTTTGTAAAACAGTGCTTGGCACTGATGACAGGTACCTGCTCACTCCACTATCTGGAACTCTCAAGGGAAACGAAAACCAGTTCTATATATATAGTGGGGCCGGGTTCGAGGTAGCCGATGTCAGTTACATACCTGAAAAATCTTATTCAAGGGAAAGTGATCTGAGCTCGACAGAGAGCATAGGGTTCGAGATATCTGAGCTCGAAAAGTTCAAATGTGGGAATGCATGAGGATGGGATTGCCCGAATCCCTTACACTTTAATACTTTTATTGTTACTATAGCGTTAATGTTTCGTTCTCGTGGCCATGCTTCTTTGCTTCTGACGTAATAAAAAATAACTATTCTTTCCCTGAAATCTTTGATATAAACAAATTTTATTTTGTACCTTCAAGAGTGGGTTGGGTATCTTGATCTCTATTCTCTTACACCAGGGTTCATTCTGTACCGGCTTTTCAATGTATCGTTTAATCTTGTGAAACTTGCTCTCATTTAGGATTCGAGCGGGTTTGCTTTTATTGAAGAAGTGTATCACCGCTTCTTTCGTTGGTCCATAGGATATTTCACAGATGGTGTGTGTGTTTTGTGTGATGCAAGTCGGTAGAACGTTGTCCTTCAACAAGAGGTTAATAAGACTGGTCTTTCCCGCGCTGGTCTCTCCTGTTATAGAATGGAAATATTAATCAGTGTTTCTCATTACAAACCGAGTGTCGTACGATGTTGTTTCAGTAAGAGCCGTCAGGTCGTTCTGGTGCGAGACAGCTATAACAGTCATTGGTCTTACCAGCAATGAGTATGGTGAATCGCTTGTTATCGAGATCTGCAATGCATTGTCCAGCTCTAACCAGGAATTCTTCTTGTTCTGTCTGACTTATCACCGTAGTTTCTCGTAACACATTCTTCAATTCCTTGTAGTACTCCTTTAACATGTGTCGTCGGTCACGAATTAGTTCGAGATCTTTCAAGATCCTCTCATATCCCTAGACAAAGAGTTGTTCCGTTACGCAATTCATTTATCTATCTATTTCTCATTTCATTGTCGTAAAAGAAAATATGTTAGAGTTTGAAGTGTTTGTAAATGGAGGACGACTTTATTTGCGTCCATCCACATGCTCGTGCATGTGCCTACGAGTATACCCCACTCCCCACATCCTGCACCACATAGGTTACATTTAAACTAATATGTCCTGCGCATTGTTAGAAGGCCCTAGCTTGTTGCACCCAGAGATCTTCATTGAGTCTCCGACTTGCGAACACAGGTTGGATGACGGTTGTTACTTTTAAACTTAGATTGCTAAGTTGCTGTACATGTTTCACAACGTTCGCTGAACGGTATGATGACTTAAAAAATGTTCGTTTTCTCTTGTGGCGTTAGATAGGGTTGTTAGTCAGATACCTTAGTGTCAATGAGCTTTTTAATGGCCAACGTGGTAATTTTAAAGTGCTGTGGGTATTTAAGCTTACAGAACACTTCTCTGATCGGTCACATTCTTCGGGGGAAATGTGACTAGTCAGAAGATAATCGGTATGCCGGGTATAGCATGGTGTTAATTAAGCTTTGTTTGTACCGATCATATACGTGGCTCTGACAGTGACTGAAGGAGGAGGCCTGTGTTGGTGGGCTTCACATAAACTCTGTGCTCCACCTTAGGAGCTCGGTGGAGTAATTCCACAACTAGAAAGGCGATGGAACGCTTGGCCATGTTTGATCTCATTTACATGTACAAACACTACCAGCTCGAACATAATGGTCGGATAGCATAGCTTCTGTTAGAACAGTTTACTGTGAAAGTCAAAGAACCGTGAACACTTTGATTTTGATTTTGACATGTCGATTGTGTAGCCACCGATCAGACGCGAAATAAAACCGCAAAGAAAGCAAACAAATTAACGATGTCTCCATCAGTCACGAAACCACACTTCGATCCTTCCGAAAAATGGCTATTAACCTGTAGTTTTGTAAATACTAATTTAACCTGTTCTATTTGAGCAAGCAAACTGGGAATTCGAGCGACTTTAAACGACGTGTGGCTCAAACCTGCACGTGCGGACTTGCAGCCTAAGGCTACAAAACCAGACAGCCCTTCTATATTCAACTTAATCCGTTGCTATCTTTGGCGATAAAAATTATAGAGAACCCTGATAACTCCGAACTAAAAAGATCAGTTTCCATGGAAAGAGCGAACGTTTGGAAAAAAACGAGGGTAAGGAGCAAAGATTTTTTTTGTAAACAGTATGCAACTACATGTAACAATGCGCGATACCGACCATACGAGAGATTTCCTAATTAAAATTTAAAGATTATCGTATTGTGTGTCAAAATAATGGATTTCAGTAAATAAACTGATATGTTAAGTAGACAAGAAGCTTGCAACGAGAGTACCAGGGGGAAGAAAAAAATTCAAGGATTTGGAGGAATATCAGGGGTCTCTGTAAAATGAGGACCGGATGGGGGATGGCGGATGGCGGATAGCGGATGGCGGATGGAAAAATGCGGATGACAAAATGCCGATGGGAAATTGCGGATTACAAAATCCGTACGAGAGGAAATAAACGACAAAGTTCTCTTGTCTATTTTAGGTAGGGAGAAGTCGAATATCGGTGAACATAATTCGATCATCACCGCAAAGTCATACCATTGTTTCCTCTGATGAGCCCTGATGGCTGGCGGTGAAAATATTGGTGAGATGAATGCTATTAGTAGTAGTGTGACAGAACTGTACTACATGCAAAAAGAACTCCATCAGGAGGTGTAAAAACCTATATTCTTTGTATTCGAGTTTTGTTTTTCGTTATTTTAATTGCATGAAACCTGTATCAGAGCAAATTAAAGCTGTAAAAACGCTCTGTACCTGTTCGATATTTGAAGGTCTTGTCCTGTTCGTTTGACGCTGACCAGTCAGCTTTTTCACTGCAAAAACACTTAGAGGAAAGGTAAGATAAAGGTGAGGCCGAAGTTAGATCTGCCAAAACTTTGCTCTAGGAATCGGCGCTATATATAAAACTCCGTCGTCCATGTTCTTTCACTTGTGCTGGAGTCCCCAGCCTTTGAAGACGTGTTGTGCGTAGTCTTGTGCATATGCAAACTTTTCAACTAAGGTACACTGGGACGCGATCGGTTACTGTAGCGGTGTTCCATTTAATTTGGCAATGCCTGTTTCTTGCAGTGGAAATTTGCTTAGGTATAAACAGTGAAAGTCCTTCGATGTAGTGAAAGAAGAACGGAGTCTGATGATAAAAAGAAAGTCTAGTCTGTTTTTCGATCAAGACTGTTCCGTTATATTTTTGATCTTGATCTTTTTTGTGATTGAGTAACAAAATATTGGACTCTCTCGGTCTAAATTCTATGAAATGAACTGGTTTATTTTCAAGTAGGACTGTCAGAAAACATCGTAAGTTAATTTCCCCTCATAAGTATTTTATTATCCGCATATAGTCATTTGCAATTTTCCTTCCGCATTTTTACGTCCGCATTTTTCTATCCACATTTTGTCATCTGCATTTTATCATCCTCATTTCTCCATCCGCATTTTTTAAGGCTGGTTTTCACTAGCGACGGAGTCGGAGTCGTAGTCGGAGACGTAAGAGCGCTTATGACCCAGTGAAAATCGTAAATCGGAGTCATAAGCGGAGTCATAAGCTCGACGGAATCGGACTCGGAAGAATCAGAACGTTTCCATTTCTTCCGATTCCGTTTACGACTCCGTCGCTTATGATCTGGTGAAAACTAGATTGTCGGAGTCGGAAGCAGAAGCGGAAGAACCAACCAATCACAAGGCCCAGAATGGAGCATTGTAGTTGGTTTATTCTTCCGCTTCTGCTTCCGACTCCGACAATCTAGTTTTCACTAGATCGTAAGCGACGGAGTCATAAGCGGAATGGGTCTTCTGCTACCTGCTATTTTCACTAGATCGTATCACTCTACGCTTCTGATTACGACTCTGACTACGACTCCGTCGCTAGTGAAAACCAGCCTTTAATCCTCATTTTGTCATGCGCATTTTGCCATCCGCCTTCCGCCGTCACCCGGTCCGCGTTTTTCAGAGACCCGCAATGCAGCAGGGAGAGACTGAAGTTTGGAAAGCGGCTGCAGCAAAATCTAATTTTTGCACGTTACGCATTTTCTAACGACTTCGCAAAACTTGTAGGGAAGACAAGACCAGCACCATTCAGATACCATGTCCTTTCATAACACAGTCGTGTATGATAATTTTTCCCATCTTACGCCGTTTACGTGATGAAAAAGAAGAAAAATGTCTCGAACTCGCGACAGCAGTCATTCTTCCGTGCCCGCTCCTTCAATCAAAAGGGCAACACTAAAACTAGCTGTACATGAGAATTATTAGTATGCAAATTTCAGGCTCTCGATTTTTCGCGCCGTTTTGATGTGGTGGTTTCCAGGCGAGATTAATTTAAGAAGAGTTCCAGTCGAGAAAAAAACAATAATGTCTGCGGTTCCAAAGTGGTTACAAGATTTTTTAATAAGAAAACTACAGGGTAACGATGATTTTTGGAAGGCGAAGCGATTGATGCGTAGTTCGTGACTGATCGAGAGAGGCCGTTAATTTTTGTCTGTTTCTTCTTTCGCGGTTTAATCTCGCATTTGACTGGTGGCTACACAATCGACACGTCAAAATCAAATCAAAGTGTTCACGGCTTTTTGACTTTCACAGTAGGTGCCTGCGAGATGTACCAGCAAAGTTGATTGCCACATTTAAGAGATGTTATTCATACGCAAACTCAATCCGGAATTGAACTGAACGTGCAAACTGACTCAATTCGCGCGAAAGTGTTTGTTTAGCCATCTATGCAAGATGTAAATTTCGGCTCTAGCGTACTTAAATATTCGCTTTCTCAATGAACTCTTGATTAATGAGGATTTTCAGTCCGCATTGCGCAGCCTCAGAACCCCAATGTTTGTGAGTCTCATTCAATGGAAGTCGAATCGATGTTATTCGTTACGGACCACATGCCTTATCTTCGAAGCGTTTTAAATTCTTTTTCCAACAGTTTCTTGGATTTTCACAGCTACGAAGTTGTTTCATCCAGTGAATTCAAACAGAACGAAGCATAAAGTTTCGCATCCATTATGGCGGTTGACATGAAACTTTGAATTTGCACAAGTCAGTTTCCACGGTACATTTCGCAAGCACTTTACTGTGAAACCAAAAAGCCGTAAACACTTTGTGACGTCTTACATGAATCAAAACAAAAAACGTAAACAAACTCTCGAGAGTGCGCAGTACGGCCTGGAAATCATCTTTAATGGTCTCGAGCATAATTTGCATGTCTATGCTTTAGTATATCTCCGTTGATTAAAATAACAGTGATCTGTTAATAGGTGCATGGATAATTCCTTCCTTGTTCAAAGGTTCCTTGTCAGTGAGTGATTTCTAGAAGCGGAAGTCGGGTACCTTTTAACTTCCTTTTAGCTGATATTGGTCTAGCAAATAGATTCCATGTTGTCGAGCGTCTGGTCAGTAATAGATCATAGATGTGGTAAGATTAAAAAAGTGGCACACGAGGCGATAGCCGAGTATGTCACTGATGTCTTTACCACATTTTAACGTCTTCTGTGATCAATTGCTGAACAGACGCACGGCAACATGCTTGGAGTCTATTTGTTTTGTATAATAAAGAAACCAATAAATGCTAATGACATCTCCTCCAATTGATCATAAGTAAGAACCAATCAAAATGCCAGAATAATTCGACTTATTCATAATTATGCCGTATCACTGAATACTTAAACTAATAAAAGATGCTTGCGAAAACGGTCAGCTTGCTGCTCCTTACAGCTGTACTTCGCTGGCTGATATCTATGTTATTCACTGAAGGTATGAAAGTACAAAACCCTACTTCAGTGGTCTAAAACGACGGTTTAATCTCGACCTCACCGACAACTTTGACTGAGTTGGCTTAGACGAGTTAGCTTAGACCTCGGACTATTAATGCTTCGTATGTTTTTTTTTTCGTATATTTGGACGATCGCGAGTAGTACTGATTAATCGGCAAATAGATTTGAATGCACATTACGAGTTTTAAAAACAACAGAGTGAAACGTTGTCTCCATCGCCAATAGCGACCGTTATACTTAGGCCTACCTGTTGCACTGTTCCACATGTTCTCTTAAGTTCTTGTGTCTTAGTTTGTCGCATTTGTATCCCCTCGACCATACTGGAAACCGGGCCATATCCGTTTGGGAACAGGAGGTCTAAATCATGCGTCAGATCCGTGATACTTTCCACGCGTCGAGGGCTTGAGTGAGATTGTGCCATTACGGATTGCTGAACTTTTATCCGTGTCCGCTCTTTGCGTTAACGTAAATATAAAGCTTAAAGCGCTACTAACAACTTCATTTCCCGTCCTCAAACCTGAAAACGATTTAAGCATTGAGAACAATAACAAAAGCTCTTCTTGTTTTCTGCAAAACACCTGTCTGAAAAGGTTGTAAAACTTGACCGGACGATACTTCGTTTAGACATTCTGTTGAATCCGCGACGTATATATATACGTTTGAACGAGGAAGTTAACTCAAGCATGTTTAAAGCGCGAGGCGTGCCTCGCATATAGTGAACTATCGTGAAGTCTTCCTGTTTCCTCTTGAGACAATGTTGTTTATCACCACGGTTAAACCAGATCTGCATTTATTGTATTCCTAAATCGCTTAAGGTATTGTTATGATAGTCACGTCTTTACTGACGTCCTAATTTTAGCAGTAAAATAGAATTTTAAATACGTCTCAAGTGGGGTAAGATCATTTATTCTTTTCTCTATTCGTCGAAACCATCCTCGCCCGGAATGGTCAAAAATGTTATTCTCTTGACAAGACGTCAAGAAATAAAATATACCACGCGTGACCTGTTTTACTAATTATCTTTTCAACGATAAACCATTGTCTTAAGAGAAACAACACGACAATTACCATATAACGCTTGAATTTAAATTTATCATGTGACGATAGTGACTAAAACGCCACACGAGTACCACAAGTAATATGCGGATACACACAAGTAATATACGGATATTTACGAATAAATACGAATACATACGAGTGATATACGAATACATACAGATAAATACGAGTAACATGCAGGTTGCATACAAATATACGATGGCAGGGGGATATAAGGCGCGTGTTTGGGAAACATGCGTACCAATGCAAGTTTAAAGAAAGGATCAAAATCAATAGCTTTGATTAAATAAAAGTTAATAACTTTAATGATTTTCCTCGTTTTATGGTTATGCCTTGATCCAAGTTTTATTGAAAATATCTCTTGATTTACATCATGATTTTGTTATTGTATAGTTTTTAAACAGTTCATATATTTTTTCCTCTTTTTATCACGAGACAGATTTTTATAGCTTCATGGTTCGTTGCAGTTCTCGAGTATGTTTGGTTACAGTTACCCACCTCACGAATTAATGGACGATTGTTCAATTTTCAATATACATTGATTGACGCTTTGTTAAGAGGAAAATTTATTTCAAAGTATGCTCGTTATTTCCAGGGTTTATTGAAAAGTGTTTTTT